TTCTTGATCCGAGTCTCTTTCATCCTAAATAGTAATATTTGTAAGTAGGTGTGGACCGGCGGGCACTTGGAACCTTTGGCGATCATTTTTTGTGAGAGGTGCATTTAATTGACAAGCAGGCACCAAGTAGTGTGAACCTCTTGGAACACAGTTTCCGTGGTCACTCTGTGCGTTTATTTTACTGACCTTACGCAGCATCATCGCACGCACAGGCCTCAAACCCTTTAACCTTTTGGTTAATTACGATGAGACTTGCATACATTACGCGAGCCAAAGGTCTGACACAATTATCTCTTTAAACATATACGGAAGTCGTTTATCGTCTGGGATTACAGATGTTAGCCAGTAACGAACGTTGAAGCAGCAGTCTATCGGGCTTCAAAAGACGCTCTTTCGAGGATAACTACTTTATTCTTGATACCTATTATGGCACATTCCCTTTTTAGTGCCGCATGTTTTCGGCATAAAACTGTCCTTTAACAAAAACGTCGACCTTTGCATCGCGATCAAGTCCTTTGGTCCTGTATATGTTTGCACGTTTTTATCCATAGGTTACGTTACTATGATAAGGTCTTGCTTTTTAACTTTACATTCCATGTTGGCGGACGTAAAAATATTTGTCCCATATGGGTTACTGGTGACAACCTTCTCTTTTAAGGTATTATCCTAACATTTCAACACAACATGCGCATCATCTTTCAGCTGTTCCTTATTCTCTGGATTCTTGGGATTTATTCGCTTTCGACGAATATCCTATTTCCACATGTGCACGACCGTTTCTGCCAAACATGCCTCCTGTTTCGCTAACCATTAGTCCCAGAGAAGTTTCGGTTGATGTGTCCATTGAACTCTTCTGACAACCGACCATGTCGATGAGTCTCCTGTTATTTTTTGAAACTAAGTCTGAAGTCTGTACAATGGGTAAAGGCCACCCAAGTCTTACTGAAAGTTGCGTTTATCGGTCTGTGCCTGAATATTTGCCGGCGACATCTCTAGGGGAGTTTGCTCCCGAATTTCCTTACTCTTATTTCATGTCGACAATCCAATTTGCTCTGTTGTCCAGCGAGAAAATAATTAAGATGCACTGCGCTGTTTCTTATGTTCTTCCATGGGAAGGTTTTTCTCAGTACTTGACGTGATTCTGGCATCGACCTCCTAAAAACAACTGCGACCGGTAGGAACTATCACCTCGAAATTCGACTTTGCGTCAGCACCGACGTTCCACTATTGTCTTTAGCAGGTTCTTAATCAACTGAAAGGGACCTTGCATGCATTCCCAAACAATGGGCTAACAACTTTGTCGGAACCCACGGTATGCGGCCTATCGTTTCGTGGCTCTTCCGGAGAAAGGGAACTTGTACCTTCTCAACTCCGATACCGCGAGAACAATGTTGTACTTAAGTTTGTAAAATGTTTGAAGTATTTGGCTGGCGCGTACGCCCTCTAGATTTTTATTGGAAAGAGAAGACTTACCTCACGCTTGACCTGATTAGTTTAGTCAGCCGAAATTCGAGAATAGAGTCCCTTCGACGTTGCAGATCGTGGCGATCATCTACAGTGTATTTTGTCGTCGTTCCATGTTAGCTTTTAAGGGATTGTTCAGGTGTTAGGGTTTATTAAGTCTTTTAGAATGCTTATTTTGATTAATGTAAGTTACTAAGCGACAGCTAGAAAGTGGGTTTTACCTCTGGGTTCCACTTTTCGGTTAAAAGAGTTGGTTGATGTAGCCGCTTAAAGCTTTACCTTTCGTACTCGTGGATGCTGCCTGGTAGACCTAGGTTGCTGTTTTAGTGTACTATGTACACTTACACCATGTGTTTGTAATTGCCATTGTCAAGGAGTTTCCGATTGTATCCGAGGAGTCGGATTGCTGTTGCAGTCTTTCATAGGAAAATGTCACCTAAACTGGTTGGACGTCAGATCATTACTTTGTCGAAGATAATCTTCTGACTTTCTTCACAACCGTCTGCTTTTTTGTTTGATAAATGCGTTAACCTCTTCTGAATGCAATCGCCAGAGTTGCCACAAACGTACGTCTTCCTGAGTCGTGTTCGTGTTGTTGGGTTTGCGGTATCCTTCTGACCTCCCAGCGTAGTCTCAGTCCTTATCTCTTCCTATTTTTAGAAGAACGTTTGGCGAGCGTACGTGTGCTTTTGATAAATTTTTATGGGACCTGTACATTTGTATGGCATTTAGGTACAAGCTGAAGCCCGTGCGGTTCGTCTTTTCACACAAACGGGATATGTGATTAAGTGAGTGGGAAGGGGAGGGGAGGAGGCAGTAAGTGCTAGTGAGGGTTAGGTCGTGACGTGTCGCAAGGGGAGGAGAGGAGGGAAGGGGGAGTGGATACAGGCATAACGTTAATCGATCCTTGCCCACGG